AAAATATAAATGGGAATAATTTGATCGAAATAATTTTATTGATATAAAATATAAAATGAGAAAATACTATGGGATTTGGTTGTCGCCGCTATAGCGTAGCGTTGCGAGCAAAGCCAAGCGGTGGCGATTGAACGATTTATCTTTGGATGGAAACTAAATTAGACCGACTATGTTCCTTTTGTTTTTGTGTGTATTTCTATCGTGGATGTTAGTCCCGGGCAAATTATAACGGTTTCTTCGGGAAACCAATTATTACGAGGGAATTTGTTCTTGCATTTATTGACATTTTTCGAATTTCGATAATGCGCTAACGGTCGACACTTTCTTTTTGGTCCATCTGGCAAGTGGATGTGGTGTTGTTTCCTTTATTGTAATTATTCCTATAGCTTCCTCTAGGTATCGTTGTTTCCAAGTAGTTGGGGCAATCTCTGCATCCATCTGGTAGGTCGGCCTAGTGAGTATCAGTACCAAATTCTTATATTCGGGCCATTCTACCTCCATTTCTTCTTTATCTTGTTGCTAGGCCTCCGGGTTTGTGTAGGTAGTCCGGCGGACGTGAGCCGAGTAGGTTGTATATTTTCTTAGTATATTTAATCTGTCGGATTCTGGTAGCTTAAGCAATTCTTTTAAAGGTATGAATTGATGATAATATTGGGTGAAGAGCTGGAAGTGGCCGTGCAACGTACCGCTTTTCTGACACTCTATTGAATCGTAAACCACATCCACCCGTCCGAAGACCCCTCCTCGGGCTGTTGCATTGTTACCAAAATTATTCATGCACGGCTCATCGGTAGCATTGCAATCTGGGATAACGTCGCACGTCGAGCGAATGTTTCAAGGCGAGCAAAATTAAAGTGCGAAATCCATCTGCGCAAGCCAGTGGATCTCTAGACAGAATCGCTCGCCGGTCTTCGTAGCTTGGCAGTTCCTAAAGAGTACGGCGCACGTTTCTTGATATACAAATAATCATTAGTGCACAGTATGGTGAGGTACGTATGCAGATATCAAAAGAAATTATGGATGGATTGGCGTTCTATATCGAATTTATCATCTGTAAATTGGTATAATTGCTATTTATAAATGTCTATATAAATTTTGCCCAATTGACGAATTTTGAATATGTATTATTATATATGCAATATGTGTTTTTGGCATTGCCGGGTCTCTGAAGCTGATTAATTAGGATCCAAACGGATGAAGTCAACGTCCAATTGAGGCTTGTTTTTACATTGAATTATTTCGTTATGAATAAGAGTCGGATCTTCTTCTCGAATTCGTGCCAATCGCAGCATCAAGACTATATCCCTCTCCGATGGAGAAAATATCAAGAACATGGAAGTGCCATAACATACCTTGGAGCGCCCATGACGACGACTTTCTTCTCAATCTTAAATGCAATGAACGATTACGACCCAGCTAGCAATACGTTGCTCGGAAAATGTAACGACCATTTTCTCAAATATAAGTATATTGGACTAACCTTCTGGAAATTCAACGCATTGTTGTTCCCGATCCAGCTCCTTCGACCTGAAGATTTGATACTGAGACTTTGGCATCAAAATTGATTGCGACCCTCTTGCATAACGGGGACCCGTGGCCGGAAGAATGCAGGCACAAACAAATGGATCGACGCAGCTATTTCAAGAAGCAGCTGACAGATTGCCCCTTCTGGATTGCCTACGGAGCTCGGGGTATGACGCCTTCGTTGCATCGGCTCTCTGCCTACGAGTTTCATCGTCATTACGTTTTCCATATGGTCAAGTACCCGCGCAGCAAATCTGGGCACAAACAAGCCTTATTGAGTGGCGACGAGTACCAAACTCGACTGACAGAAGCCAGCCTCAATAAAGTGGATGCGTGTCGCGGTGTGCCCACCCTGATCGCGGGTCTCGATTATCAGATCATCGAGGAGGGTGACGAATGGTGGCACCCATTGGGCACAGGTGAAAAAGTTCAAGAATACCGATATGATTGGGTGATCGGGCCCCGCTTGCGGCCTTATGTGCCGGTTGTTTACGGCGCCCAAGGCAACAACACGGAAGAAGAGCAAGCCTTGCGCATATTCTGCCTTTTCTTCCCTTGGGTCAACGACTTCACCGAAGTTAGGTTGTTAGTACCTTACAATGGCCACTTTCGCGAGCCGGGCATGACCAGCTGGCTGAATTAATATAATTTAAGATTTGTTAATTTTAATATATTTCGATTGATGTGAAATTATACTATCTATATTATTAATATATGTTTTTATATAATCATTTAGTTAAATAACAATATTGTACAAATGTTTGAAATTTTAAAAAATAACGATAGAATGGAAATAATTTGTTATTATTGAAGATATATTATATAATATCGTTTCGGTTCTTTTTGAAGCTTGGCATTAATGGATCGTTAGTTTTGTTAATCACTATGCAGATTTGCAAAGGATAATAGACGATTAATTGCATTCGGATTTGTTGACGGCTTGTAGAAATCTTTTTTTAAGCGTCCACGCACTAATTCTCCATTTAGTGCCCGCAGGACAAATAGGAAACATTCCGATTCTTCCGATTCTTTGGCTACAATTGAATTCATTTATGAAATATGGGATGCATGGGGATATACCTCTTGCTCGTTTGATCGAATGGCGCAGGAGAATTTGCAGGATGATGCAGGGAAATCCTATTTTTAAAAAATATTCATGGTTCATCCCCTACCCTTCCATGGATAGACATCACGTTTCGCGTCGAGCATTGAAAATCGTAACACTTTGATTGCACCGATTGTTCTTCAACATTTGCCGCATAATAGCATACCCCTCCAAATCTTCGCTAAGATTTGGCATAACAATGCCCCATTCAAGATCCCCTTCTATCCAACCAATTCGCAATTGGAGAGATACCATGATCTAGATTATAAAAACCCATATGCAATAACCTAGCCACGAATTCAGGTCATCTTGTTCAAATTTATTTATATCTTCGATAGGCACGATTATCATTTGGGAATATAATGTAGTTGCAAGAATCCTTCACCTTAGAAAGCGTTCCATGGAGGCTCATTACCATATTATGTTCTTCCATTTTTTAAACATAATATCTATCTTTTGTGGTTTATATCGATAATATCACCTCATTTTGTAGTATCCTAGCGTTTTTAATCCCCCCTATTTCTTAGCGTAAAATTAAAATTTCAATTAAATAAATAAAGGCTAGCTCCCGCGGCCCAACACGGACGAATTATTAGTTCGCTAAATACTAAATAAATAAATTGTATTTATATTTTAGTAATAAATAAATTATAGCTTATTAATTAAATTAACAATATATTATAATGTAATATTAATACATTATTATTTATATCTTGTAAATATTCTATAAATAAAATAAAATATCTAAAATATATAAGAATCATTTAATTAAATTTATTTAATTAATTTTAATAAAAAATTATAAAATATATTTATTTTAAATTATCGAATATATCGAATTCCAAATATATAACCGAAATCTTTAAAAATCATAATTTCGCTAACAAATAAAAATAACAACGAATATTTATATTTCCAGAATTAATTACGCATACCTATTATATATTCAATCGATTAACATTATATATTAAAATATTATTTTAAAAATATATCAATGTTAATTATATATAATTTCCATAATTAAATATATTAAATTAATATATATATATTTATATTAATATATTTAAAAAATATAGATATAAATAATATAAAATATATAATCCAATATTAATTTCGAAATATATTATTCAAAAAAGAATTATAAAATAAATATATTAAATATCAATATAGTAATTTTCATTCCTTTAATATAAAATTAATATTGTTCAATTATATCCCGAATAATGGTTTATATCGAATTATGTTGATATTAATTTTATCAAAAATAATCAAAGATATAAAATATAATATATATATATTTAATTATATATCATAAAAATATAATAGATTTGATATAATTTAATATCGTCTTCAAATTCTCCCAAATACAAAATAATTCTTATCATCCAATCATTATCGAAAAATATCCTTTATTCATTGATTCATATTCGGATGAGATCGTGGAAATCAATGAGGCATGGAGAGCAGCATGGCGGAGTGTTTCGGCCCATTGCCGAGAAGGGCTTCGATTGGGCAGAGTTTGCCCAAAGCGAAAAGGTATGCTCTTGAAATGGAGCCCGGAGCCAGACGTTTGATGAAGCTGTGGTCCCCACGGTTTGCGCCTTGCTTCACCATTTCCCACATGTATGGGACATGGTATCAACGCCAATTGGTTTGTTCGTTCCTTTTCGGGGCCCTGGAAGACGTCTCGGGCTGGAAGACGTGACAAAGCGAGGCCAGATATGTTGACTCTCTCATGACCTGTCTGTTGTGAATGTCCCACATGCGTGTGGCACAAGAGTATCCTCTTGGAAGAGTATCGCACAACAGGCGTGTCCAGCTGAAGTGTCGCACAGACACTGCAGCGTGTCTCACAAAAGTGTCATAGAAGAGCATCACCCCAGAATCTTCTTCGTGAGCGGTCTTTGAAGAGTGTCGAGCACGCATGTCGTTGTACGAGGGGCTCGTGGGTTCTGGATGTCCAGATTGGTGCTAGGGAAATATTGGATGTCATCGTGAAATTGAGATCTGTGTGACTTTGGGCAAACACTACACAGCAAGGCGTGGAACAATGACTACAGCAAGGCTGCGCGGCTGTGCGTGGGTGTTTGAAGCCTATGTTCGAGCACCAATCACACAAATTAAACATATTCACAAGTGACCATATCCACCACTGACACAGCAATCGCCATCAACCACGGAAGGAAACAAGAACGGTCGCAATGCTGAGGCCGCTTGGAGAGACCGGACTTTTGCTAAATCCATCTCACGCACTACTTGCGTTTGCAAAAGCTGCAAGAGAGGTATCACAGTCCGGATTGCGCTTGTGCCTGAGCTGCTTAAGCAAACTTGAAATCCATCATTGAAGCTTGATAAATGAAATCTTTCATTCCTAAGATCTGCTACCCAAGGTGCGGTCAATCAAAATCTCAAGAGTCACAGCTGTAGCCTGCAAGGTGGCGCGGTGACAAAACTTGTCCTTTTGCAAGGACGCATCAACCTTCTCCATTCAACAGGCGTGCTCAACTATATAACTGTTTCTTCAGCCATGCATCAGGCACTGCAAAGTTCAGAAGCAATGCGCCCAACACTTGCCACTTGTCTTCTGGAATCGCTTCCAAAACCGAATTGCAGGTGATGATGTCCTCAGCTGCACAACCTCGAGCCGCTCGAGCCTTCACAGCTGTGTTTTGGAAAGGTGTGTCTTTGGAGTCTTTACTCGGTGGTTGCGCTTCTAACACAGCTGGGGCGCACTTGGCAAAGTCTTGGTGGCCATCAAAAGCTGCAAAGACAAGGAGACGGGCCAATGTTCATGAGCTCGGATGGCAGAATTGAAAGTAATCACATCCTTGGCCGCTTCTGGTGCTTCAGAAAACGTCAAACGTCAAACGGTTGAAAAGAATCTTGTCACATCCTCACCCTAAACGATCCCAAATTCCATGCCAAGAAACTGATTCCAACTTGTGAAGGTGCATGTCTTCGAAAAGAGAGTGAATTGTTTGCCAGGAACTTCTGGATTGGCAGGCCGCAGTGAGCCCGTTGAATGTAACAACCTCTACAGGTTTTCAAGGTGTCCAACCAGCAAAGCAACCAGCACCAGCAAAGCTGTCCTTGCATTCAAGGCACGTCTGCTTGTAGACCCATCTGCCGCACAGCTGACAGCACAATCAAGGCTTGCTGCCACTGCGAGCTTTTTTCACATGCGCTAATGACCTTGCAAAATCAACTGTATTCTATGCGCCGGGATTGATTAGCTGCTGCTCTATACAGGTGATTCTATAGGTGTAGTTGAGAAGCAGCGTTGCACCCGGTGATTTCAGGAGCCAATTTCTCTTGCTGCATGGCCTGCACAGGAGGTTCGTAGCGAGAACCTGACTTGACTGCCACGGAGTGCCACGCCTTCAACAACTCCAGAGCCTGCAGAGCAACCGAGTTTCTTTCGATCGTGATAGCAAAGCTATGCAAAGCTTAACGAAACCTAAAGCAATGGCCTCCACCCTACCAACGATGGCCTCCAACCTAAGAGCGATGGCCTCCAACCTAAGAGCGATG